ACAATTTGGGAAATTACGAGAATAAAGTCGTAATATTACGAGAATAAAGTCGTAATAATACGAGAATAAAGTCGTAATAATACGAGAATAAAGTCGTAATAATATGAGAATAATAATTCTCAATAATAATTGTTGTTGGAGCCAGAAATCAAGTTAATATAATGCACAACTTCATGGAGAAAAAGTATAAAATTCGTTTTTTTTTTTACTGAATGTGGAATTAATACATTTATAATGAAGTCCATATTTTCTTTACTTTGACTTCTATAAAAGCAAAATACCACATTCTCCCACAATAAGGCAAAGTCTTGGTGTGTAAGCAAATACTAAAAGAGGTGCAAAACAGTTTCTAGGTGGTCTTCACAAAAAGAACAGTTTGTGTTGATTTGTTTGTCTCTTTTAAATTTAACCATGTAATGATTAGCAGGGTAACGACACTTCTTTCACCTTGTTTACTCTCAGGTATCTGTGAGGAATCATCCAAACTTTTTTTCCAGTCAATGTCGTTTACAAATCGGTTCCAATAAAACATAACATTTGGAATAGATACTATTTCTTTGTAATACGAGGCATTAATGTTTTTATTATTTCGTGGAAGTTTAAAAAAACAGATTTTTTATTTAAATCATTTGTAACGTCAGTTATGTGGCAGTTATAGTATGAAAGCAGAGCCGATAGGTTTGCTCTGGATTAAAGTTAGTGTTTTGTTTTTACAAAGTAAAAGTCAACCATGATAATGATGTCACTAGAAGCCAATCGTTTATCCCTTCAAAATAAAGGCCTACATTTAAAATACAAAACACAAAAAAAAATGACTAAAGGTTAACAGATAGGGTATGTTTTTGTAATTTTTCACCTTTAAGATGATCAAAACCATCTATAACCCTTTGTCCTAATTGTCTTATTGTGGCAGTCTTAACCGGATGCTTTAATGTAACACCACGACCAGCTTGATGTACTGACCCGGTCGCGTCCTGTCAAACTTTACCGACACTGGGATCTCACGTCCGTCTGTTTGCCACTGTCTCTCAGCGATGGAGCGGAAAGTAGCTCGAGAATTTAGGCACAAGGTAAGATACAAACATTTCCCTCTTCTTATATTGATCGAATAGCTTTTTAAATAAAAGAAAAAGCTCTTGTAAAGCTCTTTATCTACCTGGTGGCTCAGGTGTCTCAGGCAGTGGGATGTTACGCAGACATAGGCCTGACCGACAGCCTCAGGAAAACAGAAACAACCCTTAGAATAATTCAAGGATTATATTTTAGTATCAGCAAAGGAAAAATAGTATATACAAGTATATAAACATCAAATAAATGTTAATAATTTAGAAACTGTAATGTACCTTCAGAGTTAAAATGTAGTTTATCATTAAGTCCATTGGATAAATTAGACTAAACTATTAAACTAATTGTTTATAGATTAATAGGTTTTTATTGTGTTATTGCCTTTCTTGGGTTATCTAGGGTGAAATAAATATGTAATGAAATAAATGTAATAGTTCCCACAACTGTTCTGTTAGGTGATACTTACGGGCACACATCTTGTGAGTTATAAGCATAATTTGGGCTTCAGTGGATCATCCTATTTTCCTTAAATTCTTAAAACTTAAGCAGCCACAGTGTGATTTAAATATTATTTTATATTGGAGGACATCCATTATGTTTTAGTCCCACTGCTGAAACCTTTTTCTCTGCCCCAGGTAAAAACATAATGCAGCGGAAACTACCATGATAAAATAAACATTAGTTGATTAGTTCCATGAATTAATTACAAATTATGCCTTGTTTTGTGGTTGGCGTTGGCATATTATCTGCCTGAAAAGGTAACTGTGAGTAAAAGATTACAAAGGAAAGGGGAACATGATACGTTCAGGGCGTTTTCAGGTCCAGAGCATGCAGGGATCACCAAACAGCCATCTGTGCTGCACTCAGGCGGGCAGGGTCCCATATTATGGGCTCTTCACAAAGGGCATCTCAGTTTTTATGATAATGTAGACTGTGTCAGAGATGAGCAGCTGAGCGTAAAAGATGGGACAATTTACTGGGGTTTAATTAGAGGCTGAGGGCCAAAGGCTGCACAATCAAGCTTTGTTTCTTTTTGGGACAGTCGCTGTCTCTCTCTGTGTGAAGTTCCAGTGTACTTTTGTAGAAGATTTGCATTATTATCTGTTTTTGTCAGTTTAAAAGTTCTTTGTATGTACTGCAATTTATGTACATTGTAATAGGAAAAAGTTATTCTGTGAAAACATTCATTTAAACTAGACAGTGCACTCTTTAAAACAGGTATCTGCCGGCCCAACGCCTCCTACCTCATTAGTTTATGGTGCCAAAGTCTGCTGTTAGTTCAGGCTGAAATTTATGACAGTCATAAAACGCCATGTCACACACACCCACACAGCAGGGTCC